TTCGGTTAACGGTTAACTGGTCAATATGGGCATCCCACATCTCAAAGTGCATTAGATAGAAGAATTTAACTTTTAAAATGTACAAAAGTTAAATTTTTTTCCAATTGTTTATTTGTCTTTTTTTTTTATATTGCAACAAATATCGTACCATGGACTTCATATCATATGAAGTGATATTATCATATTGTGAGATTTTGATATCGATACATCCCTAATATATATATACTTGGAAATGCTGTTTTGTACTCATTTACTGAGGAGTCTGCTGCTGCTCGCGGGGCAGTACTGGTGAAATCTCCCAGCTAAATGATAGCTAAGGTTTATCCAAAACAGTCACTAGGTTTGTCAGTATGTTATGGAAAAAAGCCACTATAAGGGTTTGAAAGTTGGTAAATAAAGTGCTAAAGTCGCGCTCGTGTGTGTGAGACACAGAAGCTGATGGCAGGGGGCGGTGGATATTTGTGACAGTCAATGTGGATGTTGTGGTGGGCCGCCACAAATAAATAAATGTATGGGAAACCCTGATATGAATAAAACCTCAAATTTTGCAAACTCAGCAAAAAACGCTAATATTTTCTTGGTGATATGCAGAAATCTTTATTTTGTTTCCATCATCTGTAGGAGATCTTGCTGAGAGGCTTGCTTCAGATTGTGGAGGCTAATGCAGACACAGAGCCGCTCTACTTCATGTCCTTTCCCATGATCCCTGGCGCAGGGGTCCCTGGCTTGAGCTCCTCCCCTGGGATGAGGCCTCATGGGACAGCTGGTGGTAAGGGTGGAGTAAACACTCTTTTGAGGGGTAAATTACCCCTGGGCCGTGGTGAAGCAGACCTGAGCAGGCCCGGTCATCTGCGCAGCTCTCCCTGGCATACGGCACCCTTCCACCTGCCTCTGGTGGGACAGAACTGCTGGCCTCACATGGCGAGTGGCTTCAGTGCCTCACTGTGGGTACGAGCGGGGAAGGATGAGGACGGGCGTTACAAGAAGGGTAAGAAGCGCTTTATATATGTAATAATGCAGATTAGTGTTTTTTTATATATTTTAGTATTAATTGATATTTTGAATTCTTTTATTTTTGTCATTTTGTATATTCAGTTTTCATTTTAATTTTAGTTTTAGTAATATTGTTGTGATTTTTTAAAATCTTTTTTATAATTTTTTTCTGTTCTATTTATTTTTATTTTTTATTTCAGTTGTAGTAATTTTAATACTTGCGCTTAAATTTTATTTGTTATAACATTTATAATTTTATTTATTTTAATTAATATTTAAGAAATTTTAAATAATTTGAAAATGGATTAAAAAAATTAATTTGTAAAATAAACATATTTATACTTTAAATGACAAAGTATTTTTCAGGGTGGCCGATGGCATTTATAATTTTATTTATTTTAATTAATATTTAAGAAATTTTAAATAATTTGAAAATGGATTAAAAAAATTAATTTGTAAAATAAACATATTTATACTTTAAATGACAAAGTATTTTTCACAAATAAATAAATATTTAATAAAAATATAATTAAAAAAGAAGTAAACACTGTAACCAACAGGGCACTCAGTATTCTGGGAAGTTTGTGTGCATTGGGAATAGGGCTGTGCGATATGGAAAAAAAAAACTCTCGCGATTTCTTTGATCAATTTTGCGATTTCGATTTTAATCACGATTTTGACACAC